GTTTTAAAAATTATAGTATACATTATAATCTTAAGAATTTACTTATAAGCATAATATTACTCAATGTGGGATCGATATCTAGGACTTCATTAGGCCCTATATTACTTGAGTGATACGTATACTTGCGTTGATAAGTGTGACTTTACAATTATTGAATATTTTATACATCCATCTTTATCGAATTTATCTATTATTAAGTTTTGATACAGTTGCTGAGGAATTAAATCTTTTAGCGACATTATTAAATACTTATATTTTTAAGCATATATAAAGTCGTTGTCAGTAGTCATACCAAATTGGGTCATGTCGGCTGAAGAAGATATTGACTGAACTGAGAGCCCACCAGAGAACTTGGTTGAGCCGGTCAGAGAGATTGATGTGTTGGTTAATGTGGAGACCCGGTCCACTGAAATTTAATTAGCTTCCTAATTAAGAATCTCACATATCGCTCATCTACTTTCACACCTACCGCTCACCTACCACATCCCACATACCGCTCACCTACCTCCTATCTACTGCTCTCATGATTTCTATAAATAGCTTCTTTTGGCTTAAAGGAGAAGTCACATCAAGCAAGACCAAGTTAAGTCCTCTTGAGAGCTAAGAGAAAGAGAGGAAGAGAGAGAGTGGAATGGAGAGAAGAAAATAGAGATTTTCTTGTAAACGTCGATGAGCTCAATGGTGTAATTCCTCGAAGAAATAAAATCATGTGCAGCTCTGTGGACGTAGGCAAATTTGTCAAACCACGTAAATTTGTGTGTCGCTCTGGTGTTTTTCTACGTGTAATTGTACTTGTTCCATTTTTCGCTTTATTGCCGTCGTTTTTCACAATATGATGGAGACGGATCCCTTGAACACCCGTCTTTGGGGCATGCAGTATACAGATCTCCACCCACAGCATTGCATCTTGAAGCCGGTCAAGATAGCCTCTGTGATTGGTATAATAAGTTGGAGGGTTGGTGGTCGGCTAGAGTGGGTGATCGATTTGGTCCCAGCACAGGTGGCCGGTTGGAGGTCCCTGCACGGTGGCCGACTGATGGTTGGTTGATGGTGCAGAAGATTTCTAATCATCGAATCCAATCAAGATTTCACAGGCAGTTTTTGGCATACAATATATTACTATTTTTTAATATTTTAACAAAAAATTGCATACATACCACCCTAGTCTTATGTATTTATATATCTAACATCTATGATTTAATATTTATATTTATAACATTTTTGTGTCACAAACCTTTTTATGAAAAGATATATTTCACTGTTAGAAAGTCAGTAATTGTTGTATTTTTTATGTGACAATAAAAATTTAAGTTTTATATATATAAATATAAAATTTTAGTTGTTAATGTAAATAAGAATTGTTTGGAATGCCTGGAAATGCCTCCATGTACTTGAATTTTTGAATTTTAAAAAATGGAGCACAATTTACATGAATAGATTTCTAAACTAGCGAACACATGAGGCAATAAGTCAAGTCGAAATTGGCTTAAGCAAGATTTGTTAGCTCATCGGCCTCAATTTGTGACTCATTGACCGAGTTAAAATTGAGCCAACTCATAAATCAGCTTAGCTCGGCAAAATACCTAGATCAAATCTTGATGTCTAAGTGTCATCAAATTACTGATTTGCCCAGCTTGCTGTGAACAAATTTTATTATAGCTTTCAAGGTATCATCCAGTAGACCTTTCTGATTTTTCTACCTTCTGCTAGGAACAAATTACTTCACAGTTTTACTTCTTAGACAATCATCTCATCTCTTTTTATGCTATAGCCTGCTATTCTTTTATAAAATCTTCTAATGAGGAAAAAACTCTTCACTATCATACTTATTTATAAAATGTTCTAAATACAAAAAAACGGTTATCCAACTTTCTTGAAATGTTAAGAAAGTTTGTAACGCGAAAATGTCTTTATCACGACATTTCTACATTCCAAATAGAAGAAAATATTATGTTTGGAATCTGAAGGCAAGATATCTGAAGAATCACATGATGCATTATTGTTGACATTGGCAGTTCATAGTTCTGTTGAAGACTTGATATTGGATTCAGGGCTTTGAATGTGGTAGGAAATCTACCAGAGGCCACAGTGCAGGGCAGTGATAGAAGTGAAGAGGAAAGTGGATACGGGGCACCCATTCCTATTATTCCACAGACAGATGTTGAAGAACCACAGAGCTATGAAGAAATCTTGCAAGATGAAAGTTTGAGCAAGTGGGAGCTGACAGAACTTCCACCAGGAAAGAAGACATTGCACAACAAGTGGGCGTACCAGGTGAAAACTGAGTGTGATGTCAGTAAGAGGTACAAGGCTAGACTTGTTGAAAAGGGTTTTCAGCAAAGCCAAGATGTTGCCCATGCAGTGAGAGTTGTAAGAAGAGACAAGAGGGACCCAGGAAATAGCTTGGAGGTGCAAAGCTATGTGAAACTTGCTGATATGTTAACTGAGGGTGTTACTCTTGAGAAACTGAAGTTGTGCACAACTTCAGTTGGTCTTTTGGAGTGAAGATAGAGGCTTTGAGTTGCTGAGGTGGAAGATTCAAGGCGGAGGATACATGTTGAAGAAAAAGGCGACGCTGTTAGTAGAGGATATCAGTTTGAGGAAGGAGATGTTGCAGTCTGTGTACCGGTCTCCAAGTGGGAGAATTGTTAGAAACGGTGGAGCTCGGTCCACTATGCTTAGGCGGTTACTTTGCTTTGAAGAGTCACACCTCTTCACAAATAACCACTCCCGTCTTCCTCTTTTGTGAAGTAAAACATCTTTTTGTTCCCTCATGTTCGTAATAAAAGCTTTGGATGGCTCTCCTTGGGTTTAGAAGTCACGCTTTAAGTTCTTCTTCGGTTTCCTCGGGATAGAGGAAGGTTTCCCCGGGGCAGAGGAAGAGAAGTGCAAGGAGGAGCAGTTCCTTGCGACAGAAGGAAGAAGATTGTTCTTCCTAGACTTCTTTTTGTTGGCTTGTGACATAAGAGAAATTGAGTTTATTTCTCTTGTAAGTTTGTCTTCTTCGGTGTATCTCGGTGTAGAGTTTATTCGGTGTATCTCGGTGTAGAGAGAGAAGAACAGAGAGAACAACGAAGAGTGAGAGATTCCTCTTGTAAGTCGAGGTGATCGACTGGTGTAAATTCCTCAAATAGTAAAATGTTTCGCAACTCCGTGAATGTAGGAAATTTATCGAACCACGTAAATCTGTGTGTTCCGTTGTGTTGTTATTTTTTGGTGTGATTTTTCTCGTTCTATTTTTCACTTCGTCGATCGTTCTCCTGTTTGATTTATATATATATATCACATCAATTAGTACATCTAGATCTCGCAACAATAATATTTTATTAATAATTTCATATGAAATAAAACTTATTTCATTATTTTATTTACAATAAGAAACTGTTTTGCATTGTAAAACAGGAGAGAATTTTAGATTTGATGCAGGAAGCAGGAAGTTGCCCTGATCCATCGGGAAGGGTGGTGGAGCCGCAGCTACAATTATTAGTGGACCAGTTGGGTGATGCCATTAGGGGTTAGCCGACGACTGAGACCTTATCGAGATTCTGATAGAGATTGACGGCTACAGGTTTGCGCTGTACATAAAATCAGACACAAAAGGATTAAATTACTACATTTTGATACATAGCACTTCAAATTTTGCTATTTACAAAACTAACACTTTTCTGCATTAATTTTTTAAGTTTTCACTCAAGTATCAAAATTCACAATAACATTATAACCCATATTTTTTATTTTTATAAATTCCAAATGATTGGATTGTGAAAAATGTAAATGCACCGATTCAATAGTTCAACAAATGAACTTCATACTAGTTTTTTAAATAGTAAATTTTAGAGTGCTATGCATGTATGTATATCAATATAAATAAAAAACTTTAAATTCGTATGTGATTTTAAAAATAAGGTAAGTTATACATAAAAATAAACAATTATAATACACTAATCAAACATACAGTAATAACAACAACAATAACAATAAATTTTTATCGTACTTGGTGGGTAGGGCTGTCAAAAAAGCTCGTTGTTCGCGAACAGTTGTTGTTCGGTTCGTCAAAGAATTCGTGTGCGAGTCGTTCGATAAGTAAATGAGACGAACGTGAACAAATTTTTTTTGTTTGGTTAGTTAGACGAACCAAACAATAACAGTGACGCGTTCGTTCGTGTTTGAATTGTTATTGTTCGAAATATAAAATAATTTAAAATAATTATATATAAAAAAATTATGATATTTTAAAAAATTAAATTTTATAAATTATAATATTTAATAAATTAATAATAATAATATATTAATATACTATATTAGTAATATACTAATATAGATATTATGTATTTATATAATATAAGTTATATAATTAATATAATATATTATTTATATATATTAACATTAGGGATGTCAAACTAGCTCGTTGATCGCGAACAGCTCGTGTTCGGCTCGTTCGTTAAGAAACGAACACGAACAGTGACTTCACAAACAATTTCAAACACGAGCTTATTTCAAACAAACTAAATTTCAAACGAACAGAACACGAACACAAGCTCTGTTCGTTCGTGTTCGGTTCGTTTACACCCCTATTGGTGGGGTTGGCCATAAATTTTTTTTTCGACATTTTGCCCAACTGAACATCCCAATCTCTTTTAATTTTAATAAATTCAAATAATTTTTTATATAATATGCCTGAATCTTTTTAGATCCATGTCTAACTTTCTTAAACATCAACGTTTAATGTGTCCAAACCATCTTAAGCCGATTTACTCTAAACTTATCTGTCACTATAGCTACTTCAACCCTTTCACGAATATATTCATTTCACACCGCCCGTAAGTATAAAGGCACTCATCCACCTGAGCATTCTCACCTCACAACACTTAACTCTACATTAAAAACACTTATCAAACATATTTTATCAAAATTCTAAATTAAAATAGAACAAAAAGTTAAAAGAAAAATGCAACAAACATGGTATTTTGCCAAATGTTATAATGAGTCATAAAACCAAGCCAGCCCAATGCTGAATACCATTAAAATGGATCCATCATGAAAATTTATGGCATCATATGATACAATATTACAGCCAACACTTCTGAGCAAGAATATCATCCCTCTACCAACTGTACAAATCAAACTTAGTTATTATAGTCACGAAAATCTGTTGCAATTCAAGATTTTAATCTCCTAATACAAGCTGCAATAAAATGTACAAGACAAAATATACTTAATTATTTGGTTCATGGTTACAAAATATGGTTTCAGTCATCATGAATGTAACCACAGGCGGTCATGCAGCCTTTCTTCGCCGGTTCCAAACATCTCATCAACCCTCTCTCCATTTCTGTAGAAATGAAAGGTTGGTGTGTAGCGTATGTTCTGAGTGGTTTCTGGGCATTCATCAATGTCAGCGTAGATGAAAGATAGCTTCTTGAATTTACTGCTTAGATGGCAGAAAGTAGGAAGGATTTGACCACAAACTCTACACCTGCAACTTATCATTAATGTTAAAGAAATAAGCCAAAACATTATCTTGCTTCAATTGTACTTGAATCTATAAACCCCTTCCCAAAATAAAAAATTAAAAAAAAAATATTTATCCTAAAAAATGAAAAAGCAAAAAGTGTTTTTCTTAAAAAAAAGATATTAAACATAGGTGGGCGAATTATTTTGATAAACTATTTATTGAAGTTTCTGAAAATACCATCGACCTTAGTATCTTAATATCGCTAATAATAATAAAATGTTTCATTTTTACCGTTGCTTTAGTAAAAAAGAAGTTGAAGAGGTTTTAAAGAAAACCAAGGGTGGAAAGTCTGTAGGACCTGATGATATCCAAATTAAAGTGTGGAAATATATAGGAGATTTGAGAGTTTCTTGGCTTACTAAACTCTATAATATTATTTTAAAAACTAAAAAGATGCCTGAGAAGTGGAGTAAGAGCATTTTGATCCACATTTTTAAAAATAAAGGGGATGCACGAGAGTGTGCAAATTATAGAGGAATTAAGTTGATATGTCATCCTTTAAAATTATGGGAGAGGGTAATTGAACATAGGTTAAGATGTATTACAAAGATTTATCATAATCAATTTGGATTTATGCTGAGCAGGTCTACTATGGAAGCTATAAATTCATTGAGAGGCATGATGGAGAAGTTTTGAGAGAATAAGGAGCATCTACATATGATTTTTATTGAATTAGAAAAAACTTATGATAAGGTTCCAAGAGATATCCTTTGGAGAGTTCTAGAGAAAAAAGATGTTGATATGACTTATATTGAAGTCATTAAAGATATGTATATTGGAGTTGTTACTTGTGTTCGAACAAAAGGAGGATTGACCAAATATTTTCCTATTTCAGTTGGATTAGATCAAGGATCGGCTTTAAGCCCATATCTTTTTGTTTTAGTTATGGATGTTATTATTGGACATTTACAAGAGGATGTACTTTGATGTATGTTTTTCGTTGATGATATCCTTCTCGTGCATAAGACTAGAGAAAATGCTAAAAAAAAACTTGAATTATGGATGTTTATATTGAAGTCTGAAGGCCTTCGTTTGAGTAGAACAAAAACCGCAACCATGATTGACCTATGATGGTAACATATACAAACCTTCTAGTGATAGAGTTGTAACTATGGTTTTTTTTTTTTTTTTTTTTATACAAACATTTGTTGGTTCTCTTTTAAAGCGCTTTAGATATCCCAGGTCTGATATTCAAAATGATGGTGATATTGATGGGGATGTTATTAGTAGAATTCAAGTTGGTTGGTTAAAGTGGAGGAATGCTTCGAACCTATTGTGTGATAGAAAAGTACAGCTTAGACGGAAAAGAAAATGTAATAAGATGACGGTGAGACCTGCAAAGCTCTATGGCGTTGAGTGTTGGCCCTTAAAGGAGAAGCATAAAACTAAGTTAAGTGTTGTCGAATGAGAATGCTTAGGTGGATGAGTGGCATATCATTTAGAGACAAAATGCGAAATGAATATATCCGTGATAGGGTTGGTGCAGCTTTTGTGGCAGACATAATTAGAGAGGTAGTCTTAGATGGTTTGGTCACATTAAACGTCAACCATCTGATGATTCGATTTGGAGAGTAGATATTTTAGATTCAACTTATGTTAAAAAAGGCTGAAGTAGACTTAGAAAGACTTGGGCATATTGTATAAAAAATAAAATTAATTTATTAGAATTAAATGAAAATATAACACTCAATAGGACACAATAGAGAAAAATGATACATGTAGCCGACCCTACTTACCGGGATAATGGTTTGTTATTGTTATTATATGTATAGAGATATACCGCAAATTAAGAAAATTATGAGGTGAAAATTCCCAATTAACAACAACAACAATAAGAAACAACAAGCCTTTGTCACGCTAAGATCCCCAATTAACATGATAAAAAATTGTGTCATAATTTAGCTTTTTTTATGACACAGCCTTCAAATCTTTTTTTTTATATATAATAGCACTCACCCTTAAGGTAGAGAATATATATAAACAAGTTTGAATTTGTTCAAAAATTTGAAACAAATTAGAAAAACAAAGAGATCACAAAGTTTTTGTAATGATATCAACCAATTATTTTTCACTCGATATATGAGGAGAGATGATCACGATGGCAGGGCTTCATCTTTAAAGTGATGATCAATTTCAATTTATTTGGTTCTTTCATTAATTTAGGATTGCTTATATTATAGAAACTTGTCTAATTATCACAATTACAGAATTTTAGGCTGGTTAACAGAAAAGTCAAATTCTTTTACAAGAACTTATGTGGGTCCATAACATTTCGCAGGTGGAATAAGCTATGGCTTGGTATTTTTCCTCAAAATTGAATATTGCTACAGATCTTAGCTTCTTATTTTTCGAAGAAATGAGATTTTCACCAACAAAAACACAATATCATTAAAATATAATTTCAAACTTTAAGAAATCCAACATAATAAATATGAAAAAAAAGGCTTCAATCTTCAAGTGATTATGTTTATCTCATAGAGATTCTTTGATGGATCCCAAACTTCCTATAGGATGACTTCCAGAAACTTTTATTTATAACTACACCAATAAAAATTGATATATGAGTTCAAATGATGATTAGAAGACAGGGCCAACAAAGAATTGGTATCAAGAAAGATGTTTATAAAGCTTAATCATCCTTAAAATGAATACAAAGTTTTCAAAAAAGAATCAACAAGCTTACACTCAAGAAAATTAACTTTTTAAATAAGATCTACAACATATTTTGAGAAAGAAATATATCCCTTACTGTATGCAAATTTGATGCCAAAAAAGTATTTTAGATGCCCCAAATCATTGCTGACAAATATCTTCCGCAAATATTGCTTTATTTTTGTGATGCCAAATATATCACTCATAGTAATGCTAGAACTTTGAAATCGCCAAGGATTACATCAATCAAAATGGAATGAAAGAAGATTCCACTTAAAATACATCAAATTAACTCCAACAGCTTATAAATGTTTGATGTTGCATTCACAATCTTATCAGTATTAGCTCAAAAGAAAAAAAAAATTATATATATTAAAAATGACTGCATTTTTCACCAAGCGATTTCAGGTTCGCTCGTTTTTCCTAGCATTCAATTGTAGTAAAATAATTTACCAACCAATCCATCCCCAAAATAAAATCAAAGGTCATAATTGGTATGATAATCAACTCCGTTGGCAATTTTTATCATGAACATAAACATGCACTACGCATTTTCTATTGGCATAAAACCTAATTCTCAAAGACATAGCACAAAACAGGAGAAAAATGCATAATATCAACAGGAATACTAACAACAAACTCATGAGAAATAAGAGAATGTGATGCACCTAAATCGAATAGAACAGTGTCAGACTAATCTTGAATTAAAAGCATACCTGTAACTACATCTTCAGATTATTTGGTTTTTTGAGGGGTAATTGCAAAAAACTCGAGCTTTTATTGGTTGTTCAATTCTGCATTCTGAAGTTTCACCCTTTGTTTGCGCTGAAGGCTTTTCTCAAAACTGAGTTCTCCAAGGTTGATTGTCTTCCAGAAGTTTTCTAGGTTGCCTCTATCCTTGAATTGCCTATAGTCTGTTGTGTTTCTTCTTTTCCAATGGACAATTCATTAGCATGTGTCCTAGTTGTCCACATGTGTAATATTTTTCGAAACCGATCAAGGACTGCCAAAAATGTTTCTTCCCAAATTTTTTACAAACAGGTTTCTCTAATTGTGGTTGCCTTCTGTTTACTTTCTAATTTAATTATCTTGATTTAGAAGTGTTCTCTTTTGCCAAAATCATTTCGGTTGTTTGCCTGAGGTTGTCACTATTGATTGGAAAAGTTCAACTCATTTTCAATTCTCCTTGCCCTTTCAACAAGCAAAAAGAATCGTTGATTTCAAATGGAGGTAATGCCAACCTGAACTGATCTCTGAGATCACGCAGAAATCAGTGACACTTTTCCTCCTCGGTGCTGACATAGTGGGATGCATATCTCGAAAGAGAAGTGAATTTTGCCTCATTGCATAATTATCTTGGACTCTTGAGCTAGATTGAAGAACTTATCTTGTAATGCTAATATGGTTGAACACGGAATAAAAAAATCTTTAAAGACTTTAATAAAGCCATCCCACTGAATTTGGGGTAGAGGTGACATCTTAATTTTTTCTCTATGTTGTGTATGCCACCATCTCTCTGCTTCGCCTTCTAGGATGAATGCAGCTAGCATAACTCTCCTGTCCTCTGGAAAAATATACCATGGAGAATTTTTCTGAACTTCAGGAGCCAATCATCAATAATGGTAGGGTCACTGACACCTTAAATGTAGGTGGCTTGAAAGACTGAAATATCTTCAAGAGTCGATTCACATCTGCCTCAGTTTCATTTCTGGTGGAGGATCTTTCGATAACAGTCATTTTATCAACTACTTGAGAGATCAGCTGCACAATGCCCTGTAACTTAGTTGTTCTGGCGTCTGCATTTGTTTTGTTTTAATTTTCATTTCTTCCCAAAACAGTTTCAACCCTAACTTCATGCATTGCGCTTGGCCTAAATGATTGGCCTTCATATTTTTTTATTATTCTCCAGACATGTTTATATGTATTGACAGAATTTATTATTCACATGCAATTTATCATATAATAATTTTTTCGTGCACGTGGGACACCTTAACTCGTATGGGTTACCCACCCCAGATTCATCAACTTATCGCTTTGTATGAATAAATTCATATTTTATATCATTGTTCTTCTAAATCCAACACGTTTCTATTCTTCTTCTCATCTAATAACTATGTCTGATACCACTTTCTGTCATATCCCAACTAACCCCTAGTAGAGTCACTCGTGATAGGACAGAGGCTGGCAATTTGGTCAAATAAGTTTTCACCAGCACTCTTCCTGACTTGTATAATCAGGACCGAATGGGTGATAAATTAATCTAACTAGATCGCCGCAATATACGTGATACAATGCATTAAGTATACATACTCAGAAGCATGGAACTCATATCATCCAAAATATGAAAACTATACAGAGCTGCTAAATCTAATATAATAAAAATATGAACCCAAAAAATACGTACAAGCTCCAAAAAATATCATGCAAAAGCTATACAAAAACACGTTTGGCTACTCGCCCAAGTGCTCGTTGCTCCTACCTGGAAGGCAACAATGAAGAATGAGAAACAACAAGCTCAGAAAAATAATCAAGGCTAACATAAAATTTTATATATGAAAAAAAAAACATGCATGCTCGTAGAAAACTGTACATGTCTACACACAAATCGTAACATGCTAGCATAATATAAAACATAAAAAAGAGCATGTACAAGTAGTATAAAAATAAGACTGCAGTGTAACATGTAGATCGTAAACATGAAATCATAAGTATAATTAAAAACATGTTCATAGCCTATTATCAAAGCAATGTCATTTCATAGAGGTCATCATAATAATGTCACTTGTTTAATATATAGGGCTCAACTACTTCCATATCCTTTCATAATGGGTCGTCACACTGCTCTAAAGATCATATAAACTAACGATAAAAGTTGGGTTTCCCCCAATATAGCAGTTATTGATAACCACTCTGGTACCCACGATTCCCTAACGTTTTGTCACCGCCTAATTCCAATGGTTCCTAGAGTTTCGTCCTTGTATAAACTTCAGGAGTCGGGTCTACTACATTCCTACAAATTGTACTTACTAGCACTCGTATATAGCCTACACCTAACATTTCTTGTAACATTTAAATCATCATTACTGTATCAAGCATTTATAAAATATTACATGTTTCATAGGCATGAAGCATAATAGATGAATACCTGCAGGGAATTCATATCATAAGTATAGTCATATGTAGCATAGTTTGATCATAACATTACATGTATCACTAGCAAAATAAATGTGCATTCATACATTCAATTATAGGTATCTATTCATAATATGCAAAAAATTCTAAATGCATGTGTCAAAATAGAAATCAAATTAAAATCTATAGAAGATTATTTTTCTTAAATTAACACAAAACTATTTCACCTAACTTAACGAAGCAGCCCTATAATGAGTGCCCACGCGCTTATCTAGAGCTCGCCGCTTCGTATAGAAAACCTGGGGCTCATAGACAATATATGATTTCATAAAATTTGGCTTATAACATGCGTTAACCCAAAATGTACTTTACTTGCCAAAACATACCTAAAATGAACTTTTCAGTATAAATTAGTCTTTCCAAAATCACAAATATCACTTTTCCTCCTTCCTATGGCCTCGAACATTAATTCCTTATTGATTACGTGCTAAAATATTTTTAGAAGCTCGCAAAATCAATTAAGACACTTCCGGCACAAAATCGATGACACCTCCGATGGCTACGAGGAAAACACAAAAAACGAGGCAAACTTCAATACAAAAGTGTGGGGAAGGAAATGAAAGTCTCGAATGATGAAAAAGAGAGATTCATACCATTTAATTTTGTTCCCTAAGCTCCTTACAGTAAGTTTCAGCGTCCCTGTGTGGCGCTCGATCCGCTGCTCACCATTGCACTGTAGCAAGAGTCGCAGTTCCTCTACCAAGCCGTTGCCTATTCGTTGCAATGAGGGAGAGGGAGAATCGAGAGCGAGCGAGCGAGAGGGAGGGGGGGGGGGGGGGGGGGGAGAAGGGAAAGGAAATATCGGGAGAGATGAGAAGGACTTTGAAGCTCACCTGCCCTATTCAGCCGAAACTAGCAAATAAAAGAGAGTGAAAGTCACTTAGCTACAATAGCTGAGCATTAGCATTAATATTAATTAGGGTAACTAAGGTTTATTTTAAATTAAATTAACAAATAACTTCCAGATTTTACATTTCCCAATTCATTCAAAATTAACATATGGTGCTTTAAATGGATTTTAATGATTTCATGCGTAGAATTTAATAAAATTATTTCGAACGAATTACAAGAGATGAAAATTTTGAAATACTTTTCAAATTTGTCGAACTTCACCTGGTTCCTTGAAATTTGGGCGTTACAGAAATCACATTTTTATGATATCAGCAAGGAAACGCTAATGTACTCCATGTAAATGAAAAAATGATATTGATATTGAAGTATCTTAAATAATATAATTTTTAGACAGTGCTCTTATAACGATCAAACATGCATTGAATGATATAGATATGTTATTGATAAAGTAAAATACATTAGATAACATGAAATATTGAAAGTGATTATATTCATAAACTATCAAATATTTTATATTGGTTTATTAAAAGCTTAAACGACATGCATATTGTTTTTTTTTTCTTTGTATTACTGTAATTTAAGAGTGTGAGTATACATTGCATTTGATTAGTTCATTGTTGTTTTAAACTAAATTTTCAAGTGTAATTACTTAATTAAAAGATGAGTAATAGAAGCGAAAATGTTTATAGAATGCGCAGACAACATATAATGAAGTAAATTTAATTTTACTGTTTTAATTAGATTTCTTTAGTAGCCCTTTCATTTGTTAAAAGTTAGTTAGAGAAAATGAATATAGAAAACATAATTCTCACCATCCGATTGTTTGTACATGTCTTGATTATTTTCAAGCATTGGGTCGGGTCGTGACAACACGTGTTCAAGTAAAAAAATGTTATATGATATATTCAAAAGACAACAAAAATGAAGTGGGCGAAATTAGTTACGGTAACAACCTATCAAGTAGCCAAAGGCATTTTCAACATAATAGTCTGCAAGAATACAAAGACAGCAATCAAACAACTATTAACAAGTTAAAAGAAATCAGTTTATGAATAGAAAAGAGCCACCAGCCACCTTATGTCAGTTTACTGCTCCTTAATGATAAGATCAAGTAATTAAAAGTGAAATTCTATGAATTTAGGGATTGCTTTGCCTAGGCAAACTCTTAAATGTTCAACCTAACTTATAAGGTGTTGTTCATATACCAACCATCAACCCAAACGCGACTCCCGTACCAACTAGTCATGAAATTTACTTTTTAAGATCAATAAAGTACTTCATCCATCACAATAGTCATCATATAGTTGAAACCTAACTTTAATATGGTTTGCATATTTGTCAAGCTCACGTGGCTCTTTCTTTCACTGAAATGGCCAACATCTTCTTGATCAAAAAAGAGACTTCTGATCTTCTAAAACAAGCTGCAAATGTTCAATGGAAGACGAAAAACAAGGAACACATGTTTAAGAAATTTGATATGTTCGCAGCTTCAAATAACTTCTGGACAAATTCTGCATGTAGCTAGCATTAAGAGATTCATATAAGAAGAATGATTACGTTATCTCCATTATCTCCTTAAATAACCTTTTCCATTTGCAACAAGAAGAATGATTACGTTCTTCAACAGTCGAACTTTACGTGATGCAACATGATGGCAAAATGGTTTAAATTAATGCAACATGATGGGGAAATGGTTCTAGGGAAATCTCATTTACAAAAAAAAAAAATCAGATAACTTTAATTTGCATCGCTAGAAAATAAACCTTAAAATTTGTCAATTTTTTTTTAAATAATAAACAATGAGGGGGTGAAATTTAGGTCATACCATGAAGCCCCATAGTTTATCACAGCCTACAAAACAAATTCAATATTCTGCCATTTAAAGATAATTATTAAGAATAACCACTCCAATCATTAAGGAAAGTAGGAGAAAACCCAGAACTCACCGGCGTTTTGGTGGTTTTAATGTTCTGTAAGATTTCCTTGAGTTGGGTGTCACTCGAGGCAGTATGTATCTTTTGTGGAAGGGCTAATCCCAACCCCTCTAAACTTCTCTGCTTCTCAACCTCTGCCATATCCCGCCCAACCAGCTAGGAATAATTCTGATAGCATAGCAGTGAGATGGATAACTTTTTCCAATATATGAAAATTCCACAAAATATAACACTCCACCATAATCCTATATAAGAGAAGCTAAATTCATATACATCAATGCAATTATAGCCAACAAAACTAGATTAAAGTAGGATTCCTAGAATCACTGATCAAAGTGGGGATCTAAATCTCAAAGGTTCCACGGCCATGCCATATCAATTTTTCTTACCACTACTAATATTTGACTTATGACTCTATCCTAACTAATTACACGTAAACAACCTGTCTAAAAAACAACATAAAAATAAGTGAGAACTTTGTAACTAATGTCAAACAAAAGAATGTAAGTAAACAAACATAGATGAGATCCGTATGCTTAATACTTCATTGAAATATTCTAATGGTGTTCTTATTCTTAAGTCAGAGCAGCAAAATAGCATTCATGAAGCAATAACAAGTCATGTTACTCTGAGATGTATGCATCAATGATGATAACAACAAAAAGCCTAAACAATAATCAAGCAATCAAGAATGCCAAAATAATACTCCAATGATCACTCTGCATAAAATGTTGTGATGACAATCCATAGGTATGCGTAGCTAAGATGCCTTAATTGAACATATTATCACTTGTATAATTTGGATCTTTCAACATATATCTTCTTCAGATTTAGTATATAATACATGTATAGTCGGGAGTGATCATATTAATAGAAATTTCTTTGCAAAATACTTATTTTTTAAAAAAGGAATAATAATTTCTGATGATTGGCTTAAACATCTTTCCTTTCTTATTATAGCCATAGATGTTAAATACTCTTTATAAATATTGGAAGCTTGTAAGAAATTTTCAATTAATGATATGAATATAAAGATATTTGCAAGGAATCTTGTCTCCAACCCCTCTTCAAGGTGTGGCCCGCCATTCACTATCTTTGGTCTAAATTTTTCTTTTCTATCTATAGGACTTCTAATACAACCATGCCTTCCCAAATGAAATTTCCAATATGAAGCAATATAATTTTAAATTCTATAATATGTGGACCCATCATGACAGCTATACTCAGTTCCTTTAAGATAATTGGAAAACTACTATTATTGGGTCTTCGAGATATAGACTTTGGTGCCTACAAAAGAATTTTGCTAAAGCACTTAGAAAATGGAATTGGGAGGTCTTTAGAAATATGCACCGCAAAATTGAGAATCTAGAAGATAAGGTTAAAACTCTTGAATTTGATTTTGCTAACAATATTGTTGAATGGGATGTTTTACATCAGGGGCAGCATCAATTAAATGAGGTTATCACTATGGAGCAAAATTTTTATGTCCAGAAAGCCGCCAAGGCCCATTTTTTGGATGGAGATAGGAATATTGCTTATTATCATGCTTGCATTAAAAATTAAAAAAAAAATATTATGATATCTAAAATTATTAGCACTGATGGTATGGTGCTCAATAATCTCAATGATATTGCTCAAAATGATGTTCAATTTTTTTTCCACTGCCTTTAGTACTAATGAGGATTCTTTGACTCAGCTGAATAATTCTCTGTATAATGATGTTACTTTGATTGATAATTCTTTACTTGTATTCCTAGTAATGCAGAGATTAAAGATATCATTGATCAGATGGAGGTTGGCAAAGCTGCTGGCCATGATGGTTCGGGCTGATGTTGTTGTGGTCATTCAAGATTTTTTCAGAGGGCATGATTTACCTAAGTACTTTAAATTCTCTAATAGTGTCTTGATCCCTAAAGTTGATGATGCTATAACTTGGGATGCCTTTAGACCCATAAGCCTGAATATTGTTTTATCTAAGATTATATCCAAACTTATTGTTAAGAGATTGCAGCCCATTCTTAATAAAATTATCTGTCTGAATCAATCTGCTTTTTTGAAAGACAAACAAATAAGTAATAATGCTCTTATTGTTCAAAACACCTTATGGATATTGATAAGGAGTGTAGAGGAGGGAATATTATTTTCAAAATGGATATTAAGAAAGCTTTTGACATTATACTTTGGGATTTTATTATTAATATTCTCCATGCTAATGGCTTTAATGATACTTTTTGTAATCTTATTTATCGTATTCTTAGCAACAACTATTATTCTCTTATTATTAATGGGAACAAATATGATTTTTTCAAAGCTTATAAAGACATTAAGCAGGGAGATCCCATTTCCCCTTATCTTTTTATTATTGTCTTTGATTATTTATCGAGATGTTTAAATGCTTTGTTTACGTAAATGCTTTGTTTATTGTTTACGACCTATCCTAGTGTGAATTATATTCATAAAGGTTGTATGTATTTCCCATTTAAGTTTTGTGGATGATCTTATGATTTTTACTAATGCCCATAAATTCCCCATTAAGTTTGGGCTTAACTTATAAATTTTCAGTATGTCTTCGGTTTGAATTTCAATACCACTAAATGTTTCTTTTATTGTTCTAAGAGAGTCACTGTTGCTAAAAAGTATTGAATTATGGATTATACTGGTTGCAATAAAGCTACGCTGTCTCTGAATTATTTAGGTTTCACTTTAAATAAAGGTAGAAAGCATAGCAGCCTTTGTTTACATCTTGTTGATAAAATCAGAAAAAGAATTTTATCTTGCGAAAACAAATTTCTTTCTTTTGGTGGTCGTATCACTCTTCTCAAAAGTATTCTAACTTCTCTTCCACTACTCTTTGCAAATTATGGATATTACTCGGGGTATTATTAAAAAGATTGAAAAATTTTTTAATAAGTTCCTTTGGGAAGGTAAAGGTGATTCTAAGACTAGCTGGAAGAAACTTAGTAAGCCTATAGAGAAGGGAGGACTTGGTTTTCGTAGTTTAATTGATTCTATTAAGATTAATTATATGAAACTTTGGTTTAGTTTTAGAAAGAAATGTTCTCTTGGGGCTACTTTAATGCATGCTAAATATAGCTTTAATAGACATCCTCTGTCTATTACTTATAATAAGAAGGATTCTTTTATTTAGCGTGAAATTCTTAAGGTAGCCAGTATTACAGAAGATCTTATTTGTTGGGAAATTGGTAGTGGGGATTGCTCTTTTTGGTATGACGATTGGATGGGGAAGGGTGCTTTAGTTGACTTTTATGGAGGTCCTGCGGCTCTTGATGTTAAAGTTAAGGATCTTTGGAATGAGAATCGTTGGTGTTTAAGTGATCTTAAACAAATGGTTCATTCTGATGATGCATATTTCATTGCTTCATTTCCTATTAATAATGACAAAACGGATTTACTTAAGATTAAAGGAATGTTGGGAGATTATGTTTCTAAAAACTTTGCTAACTCTTATCAGGACTTTCAGGGTTTGGATCTTCGATGGATTTGGAATCCATGGGTCAAACCTTCCATCTCTTTGTTTGTTTGGAGAGTTATGCATAATTTCTTACTGACTGATGATTTACTTAAATTAAAGGGGTTACGGCTCCCTTCTTGTTGTATCCTTTGTAGGAGCCATGAAGAATCTAGTCTTCATCTCTTTTCAAGCTGTAAGTTTGCTGTGGAGATCTGGAATCAGGTTATTTCAAAATTAAATTTACTTAATCTTTTATCTCAGTATGCTAGCATTTCTAATATTTTTAATGCTTGGAGGAATAAAGGCCATGGTTTTTTTGCTGCTATTCCAGCTGTTATACAACGGTTTATACAGCGGTTTGTTTGGCTTACTAGAAATGATGTTAAATATAATAAAGGAGAGGCTAATATTTTTTATATAGCTAGTAAGATTATAACTTTCTTGATGAAAGGAATCAAATTTTTGGCTCCTAATATGAAGCTTACTGGCAGAATGTCTATTATTATGCAGAAATTGTCTATACATGTGTTCTTATCTAATAAAAAAGTTCATTTGATACATTGGTGTAAACCTTGTGCACCTTATATTAAAATTAATATTGATGGTTGCTGGAAGTCGAATAGTGCTAGTGTTGGAGGTGTGTGTAGAGACTCTATGGGATCAATTCTATGTTGGTTCTTGATTAGAGTTGTTCATGTTTCTTCTCTGGTTGCAGAGGCTGATGCCATGGTTTTCGGTTTTCAAGTGGCGCAGAAACTTGGATGGAAATTTATTATTTTTGAAACTGACTCCTTAATCTTATGGAAGTATTGCAGATTTCAGAATGAGCATCATTGAAGTGTTAACCTGCAGATGAAACAAATTGTTGATTTGTCCAAGAACTTACATATCAAATGGACTCATACTAAGAGAGAAGAAAACATGGTAGCTCATTGAGCAGCTAAGCTTGGATTAAATCTGCATTCAGCTATGATTTCCAAAAATATTCCTGTTGTTTTGATTCATTTTGCCTTATTAGATGTTTCTTAATTCTTCTTTGGTTATTTTTTACCTTAGTTTTGTAGGTTCTGCTGTTTTGTTTATTTTGTGTCCTTCGTGTGTTGTTTGGGCGTGTGAGTTGTATTTTTTTCTTTTTTTTGAAAAGAGGTCCTATTTTTCTTTTATTTTATGGTGTTTGTAGGGTGTGTGAGTATGGACCTCCTTCTCGATTTTGTATTTTTTTCTTGTGGAATAAAATGAGAGGCTAATGCTCTTTTACCAAAAAAAAAAAAGCCTTCCCAAATGAAGTATCTCCATCATCACCATGCCCAAATCAAGCCTTTCAAAATAAAAAGACTTTTCAAGCTTTTTGGCCCACAAAATCCAACACCACAAAAAAAATAACCAATACACTGTCACTCCAACCAAATACACCTATAAATATATATACATATAGCCACCCATCCAACTGCTAAAACCAATACCTTCTTGTTGAAACACTAATTTGAAAAGATTTGGTTTCTCAATGAATTTACAAAATAAAAATCATGATATCTTCATAAGTTTAAAATGCCCATGAAGTTGTTTACAAAATCTTTGCTTTTATTGCTCGGATCTCCTTCCACATTTGCAAAATAAATCGACCAGAAATATCTTTCATATAAAAACTTGCCTAATTTGCTAAATTGTTTTACTTTTCTTTTATTTTTTTCATTAC